AGATCATTGATGCATATATTACTAGTCACTCTTGGAATGACTGAAAAAAGGTTTTGTCTTGGGTATTTGGCAGTGCTGCTCGGGGACTCATCAATCACATGTTGTTTGAGTCAGAGAAGCTAGTAGGAGGCAAGGTTAGCCAGAGATCCTGATGCAGCCTTGTTGCAGATCCTCATCGTTATGTTCTCTCTGGTTCATTCTAGGCTAATAATGCAGCCAAGTTGGCTTTTATAAAAAGACTTGAGTAGCTTCAGTGATTCATAACATGTGATGATTTTGGTTTGCAATCAATCAAAGATGTTGTCTAATCTCTACTTCCAATCGAATGATACAGTTCTTTGACTCTGGTTTAGATTAAAAAGTTAATTATGACAACATGAGTCTAAAATGTAACCCTTTTAGACTCAGATTTCGTGCATTAAAAGACTACTTTATTCACCGAGACATTCACTGTAGATATACTTAAACTGGAAGAACCATGTGGAGTTGGTAGGCCAAAAGATTAACAATTAGAACATTATGAGTAAGAAAAGTGCTCTAATATGATACATGAATGTGAATAAAGATACAACAACATTAGGCCACTTGGTTCACTGCTTATCTTTCCGAAAAGTAGCATAGCAAGAAAAGAAAAAAAGAAGCCCACGTTCTGTGCAAACACAGACTGCTGCATTAAAGCATCAATTTCCGAAAACAGTTCTCTAGAAAATACTGAACCATGGACACTGTCCAAGATTGATGAGTTACCTTCAGTAAAATGGAAGATTGTCTCCTTCTGAGATGAGTCGAGTCTCCAGGTTCTTTAGGAAGCAAAAGGAACTTAGTCAAGCTAACTCCATCATATCTCTGACACGTTTTGAGATGCGAACAAACTCATTAAACAAAGTGTAATCAAATTCACAGGCTTCGTTTCTTGAGGTTTCTTTAGAGAGATCAGGTGGTGTTGGTGGGTTTTGACAAATGACAAAGTCGAATCCCCCGAATCTCTGCATCAAAGTCTCCAGCTTATTTGTTGTTAAGCTCTTAATTTCTTCAATCTGCACAAGCTCTCCGGTTTGACCTGAGGTCTGCCACCATCTTTTCAGTATGTTACGGCTCAATCCACAGGGCTCAACAGAGACTACGCCTTTTAGATGGATTCCAAGACGGCTTAATGCGATTTCCGCACCACCTATCCCGCTAAAGAGTGATAAAACTGTTAACCCTTCCGGAAACATAGACTTAAGCACAGAGAGATGGTAGCCCAATGTGTCTGTTTGGAAGCAGTAATCAAACAACTTCAATCTTTCAGCCAATCTTCCACCACCGATGTTTGTGTGGTTTGTTGGATATCCCATAATGCTCTCTAAATGTTCAGGTTCTACAGGTGAGAGGATGTTTGGAGCAATCCAAATCAGGTTTGAGGTGTGACAATGTCGAAGTATTAGAGTCTGGTCTTGTTGAGAAGGCTTTCCCCTGCATTCAGCTAGACGGCGTCCAATTCGTTCACAGAGATGAGTTACCTCGTTCGTTCCAGAACACACGCCACCATTTAGATGCTTTCTGACATCCCATTGTGGCCACCAACTCTTCATTTGTGGCATTGCATCTTGTATAGTTAACCGCGGATTTGGGAGGATATTGAACCGGTTTTCAATGGGAAGATTGTGAAGGTACCCTTCTGTCCTACGGAATGCTGAGCACAGCCGAGTATCTACATGTTCGGGGTGAATTCCGAATAAGAAACTTGAGATCTTAGACCACCACCTAGGAGATAGTTCACCTAAATTTCCATAGAAGAAATAAGGTCGTTTGGCTACATCTGGGCCAAGCCTCTGGGACAAACGTGGCTGCATTGCACTGGGAAATTCATATGTGTTATCTTTCTCATCTTGCATCCATGGGGCTTCCATAAACGAGCTTGATTCTCCCATATATTCGGGTCTTAGCCGTTTCCCTCTGTCATCGAAGTCAGCATATTCGTCTGGATAAGCATTCTCATCTTCATCTTTTAGTCTTTTACCCCTTGAGGTCTCTCCCACGTTGGCAGTGGCAGGGAAAGGAAAAGAGTCAAAACCGGGATCTGGTTTTATATCAGCAGTGCCACTCGAGGAACCCCCACCACCATCCTCTTTCTGGCCACCAACACCAACAAATCTCCAACTCTTTGAAAGACATGTATGATTCGCTGCAGGAGCCGCTGAAACTTTCTACGGTGGCACCAAATATCACTCAGTAAAAATCCAACAATATAGAGAAGAGAATGAGATGGTTTCGGTAAAGTAACAGCAACAAAAGCTCTAGTTTCAGGACTGCGTTTGAAGATGAGATCCAGAGGTGCATCTTTTAATTGCGTGGTAAGAATATAATTAAAAAATAGAAGGAACATACCTTTTCTATATCTTCAAGGTCATCAGGAAAGCCAACAGGAACTTCACCAGTAACGATTGACTCAGCGAGGTCAGCAATCTGACCTTCCGTACCTGAAGAGGTGCAAGATAGATTATTCACCAGTATAATTGGGCTGGATGCAAAATAATTTATAGTTTTTTTTCTCATTTCACCCTTCAATTATTATGACCATCCCTAACAATATATAAATCACGATTCATCTATATAGTGGCAGGCGATCAGGGCGGTGTTTCTCTCATACACATTCCATGCACTGGATGAATAGATAAGCCTAAGTGCGCACCTATCTTCTCAATTGCCATTGAGATTTCATTATTAGAGAATCCCATTTCCAGTAGATGCAAAGTTTTGTCCATTGTCTCAAACAGTACTTCATTGGGAACCTGCATGCCAAAACATGAAACAAAGGTTAGAAGGTAATAAGCATATAAATAAATATAAAATGAACCTAGATAAAGGTAGTGGAATCTACTAAGGCTAGGCAACAAAAGGACATAAAGCAAACATGTTAAAAGCATAGAAGAAAGCATTAGCAAGGAAATTAATAGCTAAAGTTGAAAGCACCAAAGACCTCAGGTCCCTTAGCAGCGACTGGAACGACATCTTCATCTTCTTCATTCATTCCGGTATCATCAAGTGAGTCCTCGGACTCTTCTGCATACTTTTCAGCTAATTGCGCAGCAACAATGAAGTCTACCATCTCATCAATTGGCGTATCTTTACCTATCAGACAGAAAAGACAATCATGAAGAAAGGCACTACAGAACATAAGCATATTTTCTAAAATCTAGATGCATTGGTCTAATACGATCACAGGCAATTGCTTTCACCCTCGAGCATTATTTAAACAACACTTCATGATTGTTATTTCTCATGTCTGAAAAAAACTTTTAGGCGTCACATTATGACCTATAAGGTTCCTCATTTTTTTGCCAATTCCACATGTCATAAAATGAAAAATTCCAGAATGTCACACATGCAATCTTTAAGAAAACATAATGATTTTCTTGCACTAGTGAGAAATTTGGTCCATTTTTCAATGTACATGAGGTCCAGAAAAAAGTGTGGAACCTTGGCTGTTTGAAATTTTGAATGGAAAGCCAAAGTCATTGTGAATACATTACCAAGCGTATCCAGTGCAAAGTCAACTAGATTTTCCGGGAACTTCATTGTTAGCAACGTCATCCTTCTACCATCGACTTCATATTCAATATCAGGCTCCTATCAAAGAAAAGAAAGAAAATTTAAGAAATTGCATTGAATGAAATACAAGACATGTGCATCACACTTTATGCGCTTTACCGGTTTGGGTTCCATAAGCCCATGAAAGCTGGGTTCAGGATGTTCCGTTAGAGTACTCTTAGTGAGAATCTCTAATAACAAATCAAGATCATCTTCACCTGGATGTGAAAAGGCAACCTCAGTAATCAAAGCATGCACAGTGGCCTTTCATAATAACATTACAATTTTGTTTTTCTGTGAGAAACTTTAGAATACCATTTTCATCAATTGCTTTCTGAACAAGAGTAGAGCAAAATCCCATATCAATCAGAAATGACTTGACATGACTTCCAGAAGAACTAGCAGCATTGTCCTGCACATCAAACAAACAAGAACCTTCCTGAAACCACCACTACTTGTTCTTAACGAGACCATTTAAAATAAAAATGTAGACACAATGGATGTTTTTTTTTTTTGTCAACATACACCAATCTGCTGAGGGTAAGACGTGTCGCAGGGCAAGTCGAAATCTATGGTCTCTGGTTTTGGAAACATTATATGTTCATTCCTTTCTTGATCAGAGGAACCTCCTCCACCTCCTTTTCGTCTACGCAAATCACCCTACAAAGATTCCAAAACTCATCAAAAACATGCA